AGAAGTGCCCTGTAGGGGGGAAGGGGAGTAGAAGTGCCCTGTAGGCGGGAAGGGGGTAGAAGTGTGCCAGGTAGGCGGGAAAGGAGGTAGAAGTGCCCGTGTGGGCAGGAAGGGGGTAGAAGTGCCCGGTAGGGCAGGAAGGGGGGTATAAAAGTGCCCTGTAGGCAGGAAGGGGGTAGAAGTGTCTTCGGTAGGCAGAAAGGGTAGAGCTCATCTGCCCGGTGGGCAGGAAGGGGGTAGAAGTGCCCGGTAGGCAGGAATGGGGGGTAGAAGTGTCCTGTAGGCAGGAAGGGGGTAGAAGTGTCCTGTAGGCAGGAAGGGGGTAGAGAAAGTGTCCTGTAGGCAGGAAAGGGGGTAGGAGTGCCAGGTAAGGGGTAGAAGTTGTCCCGATGTAGGAAGCAAGGGGGTAGAAGTGTCCGGTAGGCAGGAAGGGGGTAGAAGTTTCCCGGTAGGAAGCAAGGGGGGTAGAAGTGTCCGGTAGGCAGGAAGGGGCGTAGAAATCAGTGCCCTGTAGGCAGGAAAGGGGGTAGAAGTGCCCTGTAGGCAGGAAGGGGGGGTATAAGTGCCCTGTAGGCAGGAAGGGGGTAGAAGTGCCCGGTAGGCAGGAAGGGGGTAGAAGTGCCTCTGTAGGCAGGAAGGGGGTAGAAGTGTCCTGTAGGCAGGAAGGGGGTAGAAGTGCCCGGTAGGCAGGAATGGGGGTAGAAGTGCCCCAGTAGGCAGGAAGGGGGTAGACGTGCCCGGTAGGCAGGAAGGGGGTGGTAGTGCCCGGTAGGCAGGAAGGGGGTGGCAGTGCCCGGTACGGCAGGAAGGGGGTGGAAAGTGCCCGGTAGGCGATTAATTTGTATTTTTGATTTATTAATATTATAATTAATATTATCGATTAATATATAATTAATATTTTTATTTCTTTTTATTTATATTATAATCAATATTATATATTAATAAAAATTAAGATTTGTATTTATAATATAAATATTTATAATAATTATATTATAATTATATATATAACTAAAATAAAAAAATATTAATTATATTAATTTGATATTAAATATTTATTTAAATTGTTTTTATAATCAAAATTTATAAAATATAATAATATAATTAAAAAATATTTCTTATTATTATAAATTATAAATATAATTAATAATATAATATAAAATATTTTTATTTCTTATTAATAAATATTTATAATAAAAAAATATTATATATTAATAAAATTAAATATTATTTTATATAAAAAATAAATAATAATAATTATATTATTAATTGATATTAATTATAACAAAATATAATAAAAATTTAAATTATATTAATTGATATTAAATAAAATATTTTTTTTTTTTTATTATATTTTAAAATAAAATAAATTAATTAAAAATTAATTTTTTTTATTTTATAAAAAATAAAAAAATATTATCAATTAAAATATAATTAATTATTTTTAATTTCTTATTAAAATATTATAAATTAATATAATTAATTATAATTAAGTATTTTTATTTCTTATTATAAATAAATTATATTAAAATATAAATTATTTGTATTTTTTATTATAAATATTATAATTTTATATAATTAATATTTTTTTTAATTAAATATTTATTATAATTAATATTCAATTAATATAATTAATATTTTCAATTCTTATAATTAATTATTATCAATTAATAATATAATTAGCATTTTTATTTATTATTATAAATATAATTAATATTATCAATTATTAAAATTAATTATTAATTAATATTTGTATTTCTTATTGTAAATATTATTATAATTAATTATTAATATTTTTATTCCTTGTTTTTATTATAAATATTATTATTAATTAATATTATTTATCACACAAATTATGGAGGGATTTATATCATTTTCACATCTCTAAAAATGGGAGCTGCTAAAATAATTTTATAAAATCAGCCAAACATGCCCTCAAAACATTTTTCAAAAGCCATATTTACACATCTCTTAATAATAAATCCAGTTTAACAATTTGATACAGGGGCGGACTGACCACTTGGAAACTCAGGCACTGCCCGAGGGCCCAGGGTCAGTAAGGGGCCCCATGAGATGCCCCTGGTACCTTTTTCATAGGCTTTTTGAGTTTGGGCAAGGACACAGGGGCCCCATGATCCCCTATTGCCCAGGGGGCCCCATGAGTTGTCAGTCCGCCCCTGTTTTGATATAAAGCGTACAGAAAGGGAGGAAAAATACAGAGGAGGTCTAGTTTTAGACCACCCCAACCCATCTCCGACAGCATCCCCGAAGATCCACCCAATAATGCTGCATTTTCCTGACTGAGGCAGGGGGTGGACTGACTCATGGGGCCCCCGGGCAATAGGGGATCATGGGGCCCCTGTGTCCTTGCCCAAACTAAAAAAAGCTTATGAAAAAGGTACCAGGGGCATCTCACGGGGCCCCCTACTGACATCCCCCGGGCCCCGGGCAGTGCCTGAAGTTTCCAAGTGGTCAGTCGCCCCTGGCCTGAGGAATTTCAGAGTCTGATTATATAGAATATATATTAGGTGTAATCTGAGGAGGATGGAAATGCTGACATGTGAATGTTCTAGAAGACGACCCCCCAGTACTAGTCATGTACGATCGATGTGTTTGTATTTGGTACAGAAGAGTGAAGTATGAAGAATCTCCCGCTGAAGTCGCCTCGTTATCTCTCCTCTGTAGATCCTCATCAGGGAGCAATCTGGAATTATCTGGAGGATGGCTCTGAGGTCCCAGCGCCGGGGAGAAGAGATCGCTGGTGACAACTAATCTGGGTGGCAGCAGGCAGAGAACTCAGCTGGGAAATCAGGAAATGCCGGCGAGGAGAATACAATTACACTGTAATTAGATCAGGAAAAGAAAACATCGAAAAAAAAAGAAAGATTTGTGAGAGCAGAAAATTCATTGATAGTTCGCTCCATAGATGACCCCCAACGCCGCCACCTACAGGAAAACCATTCTGAAAGAGTAGCGGGGTGTTCAGTGGGGAGGAGCGGGGTGTTCAGTGGGGAGGAGCGAGGTGTTCAGTGGGGGGGAGCGGGGTGTTCAGTGGGGGGGAATTGGGGTGTTCAGTGGGGAGGAGCGGGGTGCTCAGTGGGGGGGAGTGGAGTGTTCAGTGGGGGAGGAGCCGACCTCTGGCCCATGCAGGTTTGGAGCCGACCTCTGGCCCGTGCTGGCTTGGAGACGACCTCTGGCCCCTGCTGGCTTGGAGACGACCTCTGGCCCCTGCTGGCTTGGAGACGACCTCTGGCCCCTGCTGGCTTGGAGACGACCTCTGGCCCATGCTGGCTTGGAGACGACCTCTGGCCCATGCTGGCTTGGAGACACCTCTGGCCCATGCTGGCTTGGAGACGACCTCTGGCCAATGGTGGTCTGGAGCCGACCTCTGGCCAATGGTGGTCTGGAGCCGACCTCTGGCCAATGGTGGTCTGGAGCCGACCTCTGGCCAATGGTGGTCTGGAGCCGACCTCTGGCCAATGGTGGTCTGGAGCCGACCCCTGGCCAATGGTGGTCTGGAGCCCACACACTATAACAGGTGATCCCGGCACTACATCTTGTGCTGTATACCATACTCAGTGCTCAGGGGGACACAGGTGGTGTAGAGAGGGACAGAGTGGTGTGTAGAGGAGTGTAGATAGGGGGGAGTGTAGAGGAGGGGGACAGAGGTGTGTAGAGGGGTGTAGAGGGGGACAGAGGGATGTAGAGGGGGGGCAGAGATGTGTAGAGGGGGACAGAGATGTGTAGAGGGGGACAGAGATGTGTAGAGGGGTGTAGAGGGGGACAGAGGGGTGTAGAGGGGGACAGAGGGGTGTAGAGGGGTGTAGAGGGGGGGGCAGAGATGTGTAGTCGGGGGGGGCAGAGATGTGTAGAGGGGGGCAGAGATGTGTAGAGGGGTGTAGAGGGGGACAGAGGGGTGTAGAGGGGGACAGAGGGATGTAGAGGGGGACAGAGGTGTGTAGAGGGGGACAAGAGATCGGGGGACAGAGATGTGTAGAGGGGGACAGAGATGTGTAGAGGGGGACAGAGATGTGTAGAGGGGTGTAGAGGGGTGTAGAGGGGGGCAGAGATGTGTAGAGGGGGCAGAGATGTGTAGAGGGGGACAGAGATGTGTAGATGGGGGACAGAGATGTGTAGAGGGGTGTAGAGGGGGACAGAGGGGTGTAGAGGGGGACAGAGATGTGTGTAGAGGGGGGCAGAGATGTGTAGAGGGGGACAGAGGGGTTGTAGAGGGGGACAGAGGGGTGTAGAGGGGGGACAGAGATGTGTAGAGGGGGACAGAGATGTGTAGAGGGGTGTAGAGGGGGACAGAGGGGTGTAGAGGGGGACAGAGATGTGTAGAGGGGGACAGAGGTGTGTAGCGGGAGACAGAGGGGTGTAGAGGGTGACAGAGGGGTGTAGAGGGGGACAGAAGGGGTGTAGAGGGGGACAGAGGGGTGTAGAGGGGGACAGAGGGGTGTAGAGGGGGGCAGAGGGGTGTAGATAGGGGGCAGAGGGTGCAGAGTTGGTTTGGAGCCATGTTGCAGCCCACACACTATAACAGGTGATCCCGGCACTACATCTTTCTTGCTGTATACTGTACTCAGTGCTCAGGGGGGCAGAGGGGTGTATAGGTGTGTAGAGGGGGCAGAGGGGTGTATAGGTGTGTAGAGGGGGGCAGAGGGGTGTATAGGTGTGTAGAGGGGGGCAGAGGGGTGTATAGGTGTAGAGAGGGGGGCAGAGGGGTGGTGTAGAGGGGGGCAGAGGGGTGTATAGGTGTGTAAAGGGGGGCAGAGGGGTGCAGAGGGTGTGTACTCAGTGCTATATTCAGCTCCTCTTCAGGAAAGAGCCACATTCCTCCTTCCAGCTCCTCCCATTCCAGTATACATGGATCCTTCTCAGCAGCCTCCAGCAAGAGGGATGATGGCATATCAAGGGGTGTCAGAGGTCTATCCTATGAGCATGGACCCACAGAGAGTATGGGCAAGCCTAGGCTTGCTCTGATCTTGCCAACCCCACCACACCAGGTGTAGCAGAGAGCTGACACTTCGAGTATAGAGAAGTACACACCCCTAAGCTCCGGCACTTAAATCACCTAAATGCCAGCTTGGCCAAATTGCTGGCTTTAAAACCACTGCTTTTCCAGGAAGGGAGCAGAGGGGTGTAGAGGGGTACAGGTGTGTAGAGGGATGTAGAGGGGTTCAGGTGTGTAGAGGGGTGTAAAGGGGTACAGGTGTGTAGAGGGGTGTAAAGGGGTACAGGTGTGTAGAGGGATGTAGAGGGGTTCAGGTGTGTAGAGGGGGTGTAGAGGGGTACAGGTGTGTAGAGGGATGTAGAGGGGTTCAGGTGTGTAGAGGGGTGTAAAGGGGTACAGGTGTGTAGAGGGATGTAGAGGGGTTCAGGTGTGTAGAGGGGTGTAGAGGGGTACAGGTGTGTAGAGGGGTTCAGGTGTGTAGAGGGTTGTAGAGGGGTACAGGTGTGTAGAGGGATGTAGAGGGGTTCAGGCATGTAGAGGGGTACAGGTGTGTAGAGGGATGTAAAGGGGTACAGGTGTGTAGAGGGGTGTAGAGGGGTTCAGGTGTGTAGAGGGGTACAGGTGTGTAGAGGGATGTAAAGGGGTACAGGTGTGTAGAGGGATGTAGATGGGTACAGGTGTGTAGAGGAATGTAGAGGGGTACAGGTGTGTAGAGGGGTGAAGAGGGGTACAGGTGTGTAGAGGGGTACAGGTGTGTAGAGGGGTATAGAGGGGTTCAGGTGTGTAGAGGGGTGTAGAGGGGTTCAGGTGTGTAG